TTAAGTGGAGAGAATCACTTGTAAGACTGTCCTCAGGATACTAAATAAAAAAGGTAGAGATGGGGCTGGTATTGTGGTGTAATGCATAAAGTTGGTACCTATAGTGCCAGAATCCCATATGGGGACTGGTTCAAGTCCCAGATGTCCCACTTCCAATTCAGCTCTCTGCTATGGCCTAGGAAAGCAATAGAAGATGGCCCAAGTGCTTGAGCCCCTGCACCCATGTGGGAGACATGGAAGAAGCTCCTGGCTCCTGGCTTCAGATTGGCACAGTTGTAGCTGTTGCAGCAATCTGGGGAGTGAACCATCAGATGGAAGAACTCTCTCTCTCTCTCTCTGCCTCTGCCTCTCTGTAACTCCGCCTTTCAAATAGATAAAATAAATCTTTAAAAAAATTTTAAAAGGTGGACCTGCCAACAGAGCATCTGTTATCACATTTGTATTCCAGTCACCTAGAAATAGAAATGGCCTTTCCATATGGTTGAAGTGTCCACTTTGAATGGGCACAAGATGAGATAGGAATTGAATGTAAATCCAGTTAGAGTCCAGCCAGAAAAAACTTTGTGAGTTGGGAAATTCACAGAGATTAAAAAAAAAAAAAAAGACTGAGGGTCACCTGGAAGGGAGAGGATAATGAAAAAGTAATGAAAAAGAGAAACAGAATCTGAAGCTACCATATCAGACAACCCTGAAGCTCTGTACTAGTGTCTACATTAAAGAAGGAATTCCAAAACTAGATTGTACTCCAATTTCCTATTGCCAAATGTGAGGAAATTCCAGGAACAGAAGTAAATTAATGATAAAAGGAACAGAACACTCCCAGATAAGAGGGTGAGCAACCTAAGAATAAAATGATTGTTGCAATACAAGATTGGGTGTTTTCCCTTTCTAGAGTTGGGATGGTTCTGAGGCAATTCCTAATCAGATATTCAAATGAGTTGGAGTTTTGGGTGGTATTTGAATGCTGCTCACATTTATGTTCTTTTTGGGAAAATCTCAGGACTGCAAAGGTATTTAGTTGATGTGTTCCTATAGAACACATGGAGACTGAACAACATGCTGCTGAAAGAACAGTGGGTAACAGAATAAAAAATAAATAAAATTTCTAGACATAAATGAAGGTGACAACACATATCAAAACATATGCAGTACAGGAAAAGTTTGTAATAACTGGTGTAACAGTTGGTGCCTACATAGAGAAACTGGAAAAGTACCATATAAAGGAGCTATCTATGCATCCCAAGAAACTAGAAAAACAATAAATTGAAACAAAAAATACAAAAAAAAAAACCACAGTGAAATGAAGAGCTGTTTTTGAAAAAAATAAACAAAAATTGGCACACCATTGGCACAACTAACCATAAACAAAAGGAAAAGACCCAAATCAACAAAATCAGACAAAAAATAAATATAACAGATACCACAGAAACAAAAAGTGTCATCAGAAATTATTATGCATGGCAATAAACTAGGAAACCTAGAAGAAATTGATAGATCTCAAGAAACATACAACCTATGAAAATTGAGTCATGATGATATAGAAAACCTAAACAGACCAATAACCAAGATGGAAACTGAATCAATAATAAAGACTCTCCCAATAAAGAAAAGCCCAGACCAGATGGTTTCACCACTGAATTCTACCAGACATTAAAGCAGAACTAATCTCAATTCTTCTCAAGCTATTCGAAACAATTGAAAGGAACCCTCCCAATCTCCTTTTATGAAACCTGCATCACCTTAATATCTAAATCTGAAAAAGATGCAATCTTACACCTTAAACAAAAATCCACTCAAAATGGATCAAAGACCTAAATCTATGACTGGAAACCACCACATCATTAGAAAGCATGGGAAAAACTCTACAGACATTGACACAGGCAAAGACTGCTTGGAAAAGGCACCCAAAACATATGCAATCAAAGCCACAATTGACAACTGGGATTACATCAAGCTGAGACGCTCCTGCAATAAAAAAGAAATACTCAGCAAACAGAAGAGACAACCCATAGAATGGGAGAAAATATTTGCAAATTATGCAACTGAGAAAAGGTTCACATCCAGAATCTATGAACAGCTAAAAAAATTCAACAAAACAAACAATCCCATGAATAAATGGGCAAAAGACTTAAAAATGAGTTTCTCAAGAGAGAAAATTCCAATGGCCAACACATTTTTGAAAAATGCTCAGGATCACTAGCAACAGGAAAATACAAATCAAAACCAGAGTCTCACCTCACTCCAGTTAGAATGGTTTGAGTACTGAAATAAACAAATGACAAATGCTGCAGAGGATGTGGGGAAAAGGTACCCTGATTGATGCTTGGTGGGAATGTAAACTGGTGTAACCACTGTGGAAAACAGTATGTAGAAACATCAGAAAGCTGAATATAGACATACCATATGATCCAGACATCCCTCTCTGGGAATTTACTCAAACCAAAGAAATCAGCATCTGAAATAGTTATCGGTAACCCCACATTCACTGCAACACAACTCACAATAGCAGAGATACAGAGTCAACCCAAATATTTATCAGCTGTGGAGCGTATAAAGAAATTATGGTGTATATACACTATGGAGTACTACTTAACTGTAAAAATGTGAAATCCTGTCTTTTACAACAAGATGGTTGCAATTAGAACCTATTATAATTAGTGAAATAAACCAACCTCAAAAAGACAGATACCATATGTTTCTTCTGATCCAATGTAACTAATAGAATAGTTGAAATATAATGTATTGGAGTGAAACAGACATTTTGAGGTCTGAGGACTGTTTATAGCCCTGCCTCTTCCATTGAGTAACAGTATTTCTTTACTTCTGTTCTGTATTGTTTCTCTCTCTCCATACTACATGTTGAATGCCTTTACCTAGAGCAGGGTTAACTATATGATCATTAAGTATACTGGAAATAGATTATGGTAAAATTAAGACTGGGTATCTCAGATGCAGGGGCAGGAAGGATTGTACTGTGGGGGGAGGGAGAATGCAGGGAATCCTACTATAGTTCTCAATATGTACAATATGAAATACATGAAACTTGTTTAACAAATAAAATTAAACATAAATAAAAAAGTAGAAATAGGAAAAGCACAGAAGCTGGAAAAAGCAGCAGTCTAGAAGACATACACAAAGTAAAGTTTGGGATTCTGCTGGCTTCAGAGACTCATGACTACAGGAGACTCACTCCCTACCCTAGGCAAAATACTCATTATCCAAAGCTAAAAATAGAGCATATGGCTCGTAAATGAGTGAGGTGATGTGACTGTGATCATAACACTGTTCTGTACCAGAATAATGTAGGGGGAAAATCATAGGCAGACAACACAACATCTGCATCAAGTAACTTTGTAAATGAGAATGGCACCTTAAGTAAATATTATAGGCAATATTTATTAACACTCACATGTGAAAGCAGAGCTCATTCCCACTGTCCTACTCACAGTAGGGAAGCTAAAAATGCAGGTTGTATGACACAAAGGAAGATGATTTTGAAGAACATATAGCAGATCTTCATACCTTGTTACTTCCTCCTGTGAAAACCCTAAAATCTGTTGAAGTTTGATTTGCAAAAACATTTTTTTCACATCCATGTATACAGTGCATTCTTTGCAAAATTCAGTAATTTTTGCTGAAGATTGCCTTTGAGTAAATCGATTTTCCACTTCCATTGCATGTGTAGAGATTTTCCTCTGTAAGTTCTCTGATAATAACAGCTGGCCTATGGTAGAAAATTTTCATCTATATCCATGTATCTTTTCTCCTGTGATTTCTCTCATGTGTGCTGAAGACTTCTGTCAAAGTAATTGTTCACAAAGATTCCATTATCATGATTTTCTTCTTTGTGTGAATTCTATCATGTATGCTGACATGTATTCCTGGAAAATATGTCCTTTTTATATTTAGTCAATTGAAAATGTTTCCTTCTGTGTGAATTTTATGACTACTGAGCCTTGAATTCTGGAAAAAATGTTTCTACACATTCTTTGCATTTATAAGATTTTTTTTTCCCCTGTGAGCATGCTCTAATGAAAAATTAGTTGGGACTTCTGGCAAAATGCTTTTCCACACATATTACATTCATAAGGTTTCTCTCTTCTGTGAATTCTGATAGTTAATGAGGGCAGACCTGTGGCAAAATGATTTTCAACACATTACAATCATGGTTTCTCCTTTGTATGATTTCTCTTACAGCTAATGAGGGCAGTCCTGGGGCAAAAGGGTTTTCCACAATTATTGCATTCATGAGATTTCTCCCTTGTGTGAATTTTCTGATGTATAATGATACTTGACTTCCAACGAAAGGCTTTTCCACATATATTTCACTTATAAGGTTTCTCTGCTGTGTGAATTATCTGATGTTTATTGAGGACTGAACTCTGGGAAAAGGCTTTTCCACACTCATTACATTTGTAAGGTTTCTCCCCTGTGTGAGTTCTCTGATGCATAACGAGATGTGATTTCCGATAAAAGGCTTTTCCACATTCATTGCACTCATAAGGTTTCTCCCCTGTGTGAATTTTCTGATGTGTACTAAGTTGTGAATTCTGGCAAAATGCTCTCCCACATATCTTACATTCATAAGGTTTCTCTCCTGTGTGGATTCTCTGGTGTTTAACGAGATATGACTTCTGATAAAAGGCTTTTCCACACTCACTACATTCATGAAGATTTTCCATGTGGCAATGCTCTGGTCTTTAGTGATGTCTGACTTCTGGTAGATGCTTTTCCCACATTCAATGCACTCAATGAGATTTTCCCCTATGTGAGTTCTGTGGTGGATAGTAAGGCAGGATTTACAGCTGAAAGACTTCCCACAGTGCTTACATATATGGACAGTTTACCCCATATGTGTTCTCTGATACATTGTAAGATCTGATTTGTAATTCAGAGATTCATCATACTCAAAAGATCCATGGAGATTCTCTCCTGCTTTTTGATATTTATTGAGATAGACATTTTTATGGAAATTTTTACTTTCAACCAGAGTTTGTTTCCTGAAATGACAGTTGATTTATTAGAGGTGTGTTCCACACAAATCCTCTCACATTCAAAGGATAGTCTCTTCCTGTTATAGCATTTCCCTTGGCCACTGTGTTCAAAAGCCTGCTGTATATTCTGAATCTGGTGATGTTGACTAAGATGTTCCAAGTATTGGAGTGAGTTCCAGTGACATTAGGTCCATGAGGTTTCTCTCCAGCTGGTATTTCATCAGGTCCCCTAGAGAGTAGAACATTCAATAAGTCATATACTTCAGGTTTCTTTCCTAAACTATTTTCCTTTTATATAATCAGGTTACAAATATGTCCTGAGGTTAAATTAAATCTTTTCCTTTTTTTTTTCTGAATTCAACTCTGTTGGGAGTTGAGATACTTTTGTAATTACAACTTGCCTCAAATTTACTTCTTCACTTTTCTGGTTGGTTTTGATAAGGTCATCCTTTCTGTTAGCAACTGCAATGAGAAAAAAGTAACCAAATTCATGAACCATATCAAACTGTTTCTTTTGGAATGCTTGTTGAAAAGCAAGTTTATTGTTATCTTAGTTGCATGGATTTAACATCAGTAGACGTTATTCATTTATGATCATTTGGTGGTTTTTACAATAGTTTTCCCAATATTCAAAAATATTCTTAAGTACCTTAAATATTTTTTAAGTTGGGCAAGTGGGTCAAGCCACTGCTTGAGATGGCTGCTTCCCATAACTGTGCTAGTTTGAGCCTCGGCTACTCTGTTTCCAATATAGGTTGCTGATCATATATCCTTGTAGGCAGTGAATAATGCTTCAAGTGCTTGCAACTCTGCCACTCACTTGAAATACCTGAATATACACTTGAAAAGTCTAGATATCATTGCAGACATTTTGCTTCAGACTGGTCTACTACTAATGGTTCAGGAAATTTGGCAGCAGATCAAAGAATGGAAGATATTACTCTCTCCTGCTCTCACTGACATTCTTTCAAGTGGATGAAAATAACTAAAATAATTTAATTTGTATATTTTCAGATTTATTGGGGCTAGCATTGTGGCGCAACAGGTAAAAACACCACCTGCTATGTCAGTTCAAGGCCATGCTACCCCAGTTACAATCCAGCTCTCTGTTACTGTGTCTGGGAAATCAGTGGAATATAGTACAAGTGCTTGGGTCCCTGAACTCTTAGCTTCACCCTGGCTATTGCAACTATTTGAGGAGTGCACCAGTAGAGGACATGATTCTATCTCTTCCTCTGTGTAACTCTGACTTTGAAATTCAAACTTTGAAAAGCAGTTAAAGAGAGAGAATAGGAGAGAGAGAGAGATCGATCTTCCATCTGCTGGTTCACTTCCAGATGGCCATAATGCACATGGGCCACACCAGAAAGAAGCCAAGAGTCAGGAACTTTGGGTCTCCCACATTTGTGGCAGGGTTACAAACACATGGGCCATCTTCCACTACTTACCTAGGCACATTAACATGTAGATGGATAGGAAGTAGAGCATCCAGGACACAAACTAGCCTCTAAAGGGGATGCCAACATTGCAGGTGGTATCTTTACCCACTACGCTGCAAGAATATTCTGATAAATAACCATTTTTGAAGGTGGAAAAGCATTTCATAAAAATGTCCACTCACTTTCTAAATGGAATAGTATGTTGAATACTTTCCAGTGGACATTACTTTTCCCTATTATTTTCTTCTATACACTGCTGTTTGATAATTTGAAGTTTTGAATGTTTTTGATTTCTGTGTTGGAGGATTTCTTGTCAACTCCTTTCAAAGAAAAGCTGAGTCCCTTATACATTTATCTCTTTTTCCATTTTAGAATTATATTTTAAAAAAAGAGAGGGTTATTATGGCACAGCACAAGCTACTTTCTGCAATACCAGCATCCCATATTTGCAATGCTAGTTTGAGAACTAGCTGCTTTGCTTCTGATCCAGCTCCATGCTAATGGACCTGGGAAAGGAATGGAAAATGACTCAAGCACTTGGTCCCCTGCCATGCATGTATCAGACCCAGATGGAGTTTAAGGCTCCTGGCTTCAGCCTAGTACAGCCCTGGCCAATATGGCCATTTGAGGAGTGAACCAGCAGAATGAAGATCTTCCTCTGTCTCTCTTTCATTCTGCCTTCAAAAAATAAAGTATATCTTTTTAGAAAGAAAAAGAAAGAGGAATTCTAAGTTCAAACTCTCCTCCCAAACAAACAAGAGCTGCTCAATAAAATTCACAGGTACACTTGTCCTTAGATGTCAATCTCCTGGTGAGCATAGGACCACCAATTTTCATGTTCCTATGTAAGGTCATGCTTAGTATCGTGATTTCTGATGTCACAATACAAAGGCTCTTTTTTTATTTACTTATGGATCAGAGAATGAGAGAATGAGAGCCAGAAAGAATAAGGACAGAGCCATTTCACCTTTTAAATATTTGCAAAACCTATTATTTTCTTATTTATTTGACAGAGACAACGAGAGAGCTCCCATTCACTCGTTTCATCCACAAATTTGAGCAATAACAAGGCCTGTGTCTGTTCAAAGCCAGAAGTGGAAATTCAATTTCAGCAAGTAGTAAAACATTGTCTATGAGCTGGCCAATTAATAAGCACTGAAAGAATGAATAAATAATTGAATAAATGTCACAGAACAGGCTTTGAAGGTAGGAAGAAAGAAAAGTTAGAATTCAGGGGATGTATCAAACTGAGAAAACAGCTTTATAAAAGCCAGAAAACACTTGCATTTTGGTTAATCTAAGAAAATATTCAGCAAGAGCAGGAAAGCAGCTAGATGGATATTTGCAAGGCAGCCTTACTTGGAGGCTGTAGAATGCCTTTGTTGCATGTATGATACCAGCTGGCAGAAATTCTGGGATTTAGGAAAAGTTAGTGAGTAATGCTGCAGTCAGCATCTGCTGAGCTTTCTGTCCCAGTCACCCTGACCAACATGTGCTCACTTACTTGAAAGGCTCTGGTTCAGGGGTTTTTCCACCATCCATGGTTCTGCTCCTTGTTCCAACTTGAAGATCACCTCAGGCTTGTTTATGCAGTGCCCTTTTAATAGGAAATCATGTTTGACTTTGTGAAACCACTAACTTTGGGTTTTGAGGGACAACAGCTTGGGCCCAGAAGCAGTGCCAGAAAAAGGCCAAGTTGAATTGCTTTCTAGAGGGAAAAATTTTTCACGGCCTGAAATCCTATACCAACCAGATATGAAACCTTATAAATTGTTGAATTCTCAACTGAGAAAAAATAATTCTACCTGGGTACAAGCTGGTTTTTACTTACCCAAGGACAGTAGGATGCTATAGATTTCTAGCATCACATCCCTGTATAGGGTCCTCTGAGAATGATTCATGTTCTGCCATTCCTCCTTGGTGAAGTCCACAGCCAGGTCTTCAAATGACACCAACACCTGTAACAGCACATTCATCTTCAACATATCAGTCCTGGATCACTAATCACAAAGACTGGAAGTGGATTTTTCTGAGTGTCTTATTTGCTACTTATATATAACAGTTTCCTCTGTAATCTATATGGCAACAGAGAGCAAAATCACAATGAAACTACCCTACCCTTAAAATAATTTTAAAATTCCAAAATCACAATAGAGTTTCCCTTAATATTCTAGAACTGGGGTTTCTTCTAATGATTCTGAAAGCTGTTCACATGGTAATCAGTAAACATAAGTATAAATGCAAAACAAAACTAGCATGCCAGATGAACTAAAAAAGACACATGCTCAAGATTGACCAAGGTGAAAAGAAAATTCCTTTAAAATAGATTTGGGGAGGGAGCAATGTTTTGTCTCAATGGGTTAAGTGCTTCCTGTGATGCTGGCATCCCTTAAGGTCAATGTTTAGAGTTATGGCTGTTATACTTCCAATCTGGCTTCCTGCTAATGTGCCTGGGAAAGGAGCAGGAGCTGTTGCAAGTATTTCGGACCCTACCACCCATGTGAGAGACACAGTTGGAGCTTTAGGTTCCTGGCTTTGGTCTGGCCCAGAGCTGGCAATTGTAGTCATTGGAGTAGTTAACCAATGGATTGAAGATCTCTCCTTAATTATGGTTCAAGTAATATAAATCCTTTTTCAAAAATTTAAAGCAATATATTTGTCTCTATTATCTGATTACTGTTCATTGAAACACCAAAGATGGTGACATCTTATGCAAGAATGTGTTTATGTTAAGATGCAACAAGAATAGTGGTAAATAGCAAAGAACACAGGCCAGGTACTGGGGAAAAAAAAAAAACTCCACTACATCTAGGTGAGTGGTCCTGGGCTATGATGAGATGAAGACAGTGAAAGTGTTCAAGGAGGGCCTGGCACTATGATGTAGTAGGTCAAGCCTCTGCTGTTAGCACTGGAACTCTGTATGGGTGCCGGGTGGAGTCCTGGATGCTCCATTTCTTTTCCAGCTCTCTGGTGTTGGCCTGGGAAAGCAGTAGAGGATGGTCCAAGTGCTTGGGCCCCTGCACCCATGTGGAAGACCCGGAAGAAGCTTCTAGTTCCTCATTTCTATATTGACCCAGCTCCAGCCATTGTAACCATTTAGGGAGTGAACCAGTGGATAGAAAACCTGTCTCCTCATCTCTCCCTCTCTCTGTAACTCTACCTCTCAAATAAATAAATAAATCTTTTTAAAAAATTGTCCAAGGAACTGATAATTAATATTTATATACTTGACCCAATAAAATTTTATGTGCTACTTTTGTAAACTTGTTTATAAACTATGTTCATAAGCATCATAACGTATCCTGCAACAATTAGAATAATTATTATTTTTACATGAAAATGAGTACTCACTCCCTCAGGCACAGGGTGCTTCAATAGAATGTGGTAGTTACTTAAAGATATTTGCACTCTGAAGTGCAAAGAAGACTCCACTGGAGGCAAATGGGGAAGGACTAAATGGCTATTTAGAGGGGAAGAGACCAAAGAGAGACATTGCCAGAGGCCAGGTGGAAAATATCACTGCAGCCATTTGAGGAATGCAGCAGAATGAAGCTGGGAGTTATGTGAACAGTCTAATCTGGGACATTGCAGCTTGGAAAGCCAGTAGTGGGGCACAGGCCCACTCACCTCCAGGGATGTAGCAAGTTCAAGGAAATTTTTTACTCAAATGTTCTATTCTCTTCCTCTTTCTGGGTCAGGTGGTGATCACATGATATCTGGTCAAGATCTGCATGTAGAGAATGCTGTTTTTAGTTAAGCAGAGGCTTGTCCTGGTGTCACCAAGGGTATCTGGCAGAAATAGGGCCAGCACCATGGTTCACTTGGTTAATCCTCTGCCTGCAGTGCTGGCATCCCATATGGGCACTGGGTTCTAGTCCCAGTTGTTCCTCTTCCAGTCCAGCTCTCTTTTGTGGCCCAGGAAGGCAGTGGTGGATGGCCCAAGTGCTTGGGCACCTGCACCTGCATGGGAGACCAGGAAGAAGCACCTGGCTCCTGGCTTTGGATCAGCACAAGCACCAGCCATAGCAGCCATTTGGGGGGTGAACCAATGGAAGGAATACCTTTCTCTCTGTCTCTCTCTCTCTCACTGTCTGTAACTCTACCTGTCAAATAATTTAAAACAAAAAGGGCAAAAATAAAAGCCACAGGGCAAGACAGAGAGAAGTTCCTGCTCCTTGCTTGGAGAGAGTCCTGCTGGCCCCTACTTTTCTATAATCTTTTATTTTCCTTTCATTGCACACCATCACCTCTTCAACCTGCATATTTGCTGCATGGTTCACAGCAAGGGGCACCTGAACAGGGACCTGACGAGGAAGGATCACCTCAAACAAATGAAAATGAAAAGTTTAATGGAGAAGAAGGCTGCCCAAACATGCAGTCATGACCATAACTTTTGTGAATGGAGTTTATCTTTACCCAGAGTAATGGGTAGGATTTAAAGATCAAGACTAAACAATATTGTAAAGTTTTAAAACAATTCTTGAAAGGGAGAGGAATCATTGTATCAGAAAAAGTTGTACAGGAATTTTAGTCAACAGTAATATTATATATTCCTAGATTTCCAAAGCATGAAACTAGGATATCCAAGGGAAAACATTGGGGATATGTTTAAAAAGGAATAGAATTCACTTCTGATTTTTTATGCAGTGGATGAAATGTGAAATCCAATGAATTAAAGAAATCCATATATAACTTGGAAGAAAAACATATCTGTGAAATAGAGATTTAGAAGAGAAACCAAAGAAAATATTATAACTAGAGAAGTTAATGTCAAATAAAAAATACAGTGGAATTCTTAACAACATACATGTAAAGCAGAATAAAAAGTATCTGAGTGGGAAGGTAAATCTTAGGAAATGTCATGGATGAGAGAAAAGGATGAAATTGTAAGTTAAAAACTTTTTGATGGGATACTATCAAATGACCCAACATAAATAGATCTTTGGATTTTCTGAAAGTATGGAAAGAGAGATTACATTGGAAGGTGTATTCAGTGAAGTAATTATGGAAAAGTCCCCTAACCTGGAGAAAGAAAGGGACACTCATGTACAGGAAGCACACAGAACTCCTAATACACATGACCTAAAAGATTTTCACCATGATACTTTGCAGTCAAACTTTCAACAGTAAAGCATTAATAAAAATTATAAAATGTACACAAGAGAAACATGATTACCTTCAGAAACATATCCAATTAGACACAGATGATTTCTCATCAGAAACTCTACAGGCTAGGAGAGAATGCAGAGATTGTCACCCCTGAATACTATGTCCTGCAAGCTCTCATTTATGAATGAAGGTGAAAAAAAAAACTCTCCATAACAAACAGAAATTGAAAGAATATGTCATCAGGGGCTGGTGCTGTGGCATAGTGGGTAAAACCACCATCTGCAGTTCTAGCATCCCATATGGGTGTCAGTTCAAGTCTTGGCTGTTCCATTTCTAATCCAGCTCTCTGCTATGGGCCTGAAAAAGCAGCAGAAGATGGTTCAAGTCCTTGGACCCCTGCACCTGTGTGGGAGACCTGGAAGAAGCTCCTGGCTTCAGAATGGCTCAGCTGTAGCTGTTGAGGCTAACTGGGGAGTGAACCAGCAGATGGACAACTTCTCTCTCTGTACCTTTCCTTCTCTTTGTGTGTAACTCTCTTTTAAAGACACAAAGAAGGGTACTATGCAATAATTAAGGGATCAATTTAACAGGAAGACATGGATATAATAAACATCCAATATATACACCAATGCCAGAGCACCAGGCTATTTAAAATAATTTTTAATTGACATAAAGGGAAACATGGAGTCCAATAATGGAGGACTTCAACATCTAGTTTCATCAATCGACTGATCAACTTGATAGAAAACCAACAAAGAAATATCAGAGCTAATCAACACTATGGGCCAGGGCCAGTGCTGCGGTGCAGCAGGTTAACACCTCGGCATGAAGTGCCAGCATCCCATATGGGTGCCAGTTCTAGTCCCAGCTGCTCCTCTTCCAATCCAGCTCTCTTCTGTGGCCTGGGATAGCAGTAGAAGATGGCCCAAGTCCTTGGGCCCCTGCACCCAGCAGAAGCTCCTGGCTCTGGCTTCAGATTGGCACAGCTCTGACCATTGCAGCCAATTGGGGAGTGAACCATCAGATGGAAGACTTCTCTCCCTCTGCCTCTCCTCTCTCTGTGTGTAATCCTGACTTTCAAATAAATAAATCTTAAAAAAAAAACACTGTGGATCAAATGGACTGAACAGATATCTACTGAATATCTCACAGTTGCAGAATACACATTATTTTCATCACTATGTGGAACCTTCTCTAGGATAGACCATATGCTAGGCCATAAAGCAAGTCTCAGCAAACCCAAATTATTGAAATCATACCATGTGTCCTTTCTGACCACAATGAGATAAAGCTAGAGATTTAGAATGTAAGAATCTCTAGAAAATATGCAAATATATGGAGACTGAATAACACAATATTGAATGATGAACAGTGATTCACAGAAGCAATCAAATGGGAAACCAAAGAATTCCTGGAAATGAATGAAGATGACACTACAACATGCAAACTTATGAAATGGGGCCAGCACTGGGCTGTAGTGGGTAAAAGCTGTCGCCTGCAATGCCAGCACCCCATATGGGCACCAGTAAGAGTCCTGGCTGCTTGTTTTCTGATCCAGCTCTCTGCTGTGGCCTGGGCAAACAGTGGAAGATGATCCAAATCCTTGGTCCACTGCACCCACATTGGGGACCCAGAAGATGCTCCTGGCTTCTGGTTTCAGATCAGCACATCTCCAGCCATTGTAGGCATCTGTGGGAGTGAACTAGCAGATGGAAGACCTCTCTCTCTGCCTTTCAAATTCATAAATAAATCTTAAAAATAAAAAAGAAAACAAGGAAAGCAGAACTGAGATTCAAAAAACAATGATACAAAATTGAAAATAGATCTACCACATGACCTAGCAATCCTA